CAGATAGCCCATTGTGTAGCTTTGTGCTTAATTACAAACAAACAATATAAATAGATATATAAATTGTATACTTAAAATTTTACACTGAAATATTAAGGGTTAAATTTTTTATTTTATTTTAAGACACTAAGTTAAATTATAAGATTTAAGAACAATATACTATCTTCAGTTAATATTTTGAATTTCACAGCTGCACAAGTAATATTCACATTTTATCTGTTTCTTTTAAATAAACAGTTTAAAAAAAAAGAAACTGAAAGTGCAAAATGTTGATTCTGATTATTGAAAGTTTGTAATAAGTTCAAATATTAAAACCCATATACAATGGTAAATAATGTATAAACAGAAACTAGTTCATATAAAATAACTTACTGAATGAAAAGCCACTTCTATAGATCATCTATAGTGACTGAGCTTTTATATCTGTAGTTGTATGTAGATATTTTTCTTCTGAACTTTTTCTTTAATATCAATAACTGTTTGAGACTCTGAATAGCCAAGACTGTGCATAAAATAAGTACAATTAAAACATTTGTCATATAAGTTTCAAATAAAACTGTAAATTAAATTAATCTATTTAGGAAGAAAATCTTTTTGGTAATTGAAATTATAAGACATGCTCTTTATTGAGAGAATGAAGATTACGATACTATTGTGCCCATTTTTTTTTATGTTTCCCTGTCAATGCAGTAATCAATTGATGAATCTCCAATTCAGGTGGTATATCATGTCAACTTTGAATAAGTTCTTCCTTCATCCAACCTGGACCAATGGTTTAGCTTAATCATTACACTTCCATCACATTCACAACCACATCTAGAACATTTCAAGCATGTTTCATTGCGACATCATTTTACTCAAGTTAATTTCTCTGTGTTTGCTCTCATGGTCTCGGATCCAGTTACAAAACAATTTTGGGTTTTATATTTTTTTATTATGATTGCATATATTCTGCAGTAAGGTCTCAAAATTCATATTTACACCCAACAGATACTTGCAAGATGTGACCAAGGCCATACCTAATGTCTGTGAAGACTGTAAGTTTTTTTTAGTTCATTTTTTTTCTTATCAGAAAAGTGAACTAGTCTTAAATATTTGGTGCAGGTTTTCAAATCTTTCATTGAATTTTAAAGAATAGATAAATGAATGTTTAACTGAAAATAATTTATGTACATTTAATTTAATTTCTTAGAAATTTTAAAATACTCTTTTTATTTTGTAGCTTGATTAAGTGAGCTAAGGAGATTTTAAAGCTCCATTTTTTAATGCTATTTTTAATGACCCTGTTATGACGTAGTAAAACATTATTTTACAGGAGGGTAAAGTAATGTATTAATATTTATCTTGTTTGTTAATTGTTTAGCCATTTAGTTGAAAAGCTTCTCAGTTGTTCAGCAATAAATTTACAGACTTACAATGTTAATATTTGGGATTTGATTCCTTGCATTGGATGGACTACAGATAGCCTATTGTGCAGCTTTGCACTTAAAAAAAAAGAAGAGAGAGAGAGAAGAAAAGGGTATTTCAAAGTAGTAAACAAAATTTAACTTGTTTGTTATTCTTGCTGTACGGCCACGGACGGATGTTACGGTACGAGCAGTAGAAGAATTTAACACTTGGACTTTTGGTATTTACTATTCTTTCTAA